TTCATCAACAATGTCAAAACTGCTCTGGGTGCCACAAATCCTGTGAGTAATTTTCTGAGTCATGGTTTCAATATACATATCCTTTAAACATGCCTATCCACTTGAAAGGCACAACAGATGTATGGTTAGGATCACTTCCAGAATGAAAACTGTCGTCATTTACTCTCCCTCCAATTGTTCCAAACCTGAATGAGTTTCTTTTTCTGTTGAACACAAAAGATATTTTGAAAAATGTTAGAATCCAAACAGTTGATAAGAACGGTGCCCATCAACTGTTAGGATACTAACATTTTTCAAAATATCTTATTATATCATTATTACTAATGATAGTGATTAAAGGGTTAGTTCACCCAAAAATGAAAAAATGATGTTTATCTGCTTACCCCCAGGGCATCCAAGATGTCGGTGACTTTGTTTCTTCAGTAGAACACAAACGAAGATTTTTAACTCAAACCGTTGCAGTCTGTCAGTCTTATAATGGAAGTGAATAAGAATCACGGCTTTGAGAGTAAAAAAAAAACATACACAACAAAACCAACTTAAACACTGTGGCTCGTGACGATACATTGATGTGTAAAGACACGAAACGATCGGTCTGTGCAAGAAACAACAGTATTTATATAATTTTTTTACCTCTGATGCACTGCACTGTCTGAACTGTCCTGAGCGTGTCCTCAACATCAAATTTTCATTTTTGGGTGAACTATCCCTTTAATAAACATTCTTTGCCTGGAATATTATGACTTATTGAGCTTTGCTTAAACTGCACTGCAAATCCATTTGTCTGATTGTGTGTAATTGTGTATAATGAGCTGTGTTCATGTTAATGTAAGGCTGTGAGGACCTCAGCAATCGCTCTGTTGGGAGTTATGTATCTGTACATGGGCGCTCCCCTGCGCATGTTCTTTGAAGACGAAAAACCAGCCCTCCTTTCACAAATTGATGCAGAGTTTGAAAAGGTAAATATGGTCTTTTAAAATACACTAATCGAAAGTGGTCATTTCAAAGAGTTGCCTTGATCATCAGTGGGTGTTAGCTTGCATTAAAGGAGTCATATGATGCGATTTCAATTTTTCCTTTCTCTTTGGAGTGTTACAAGCTCTTGGTGCATAAAG